TCTATGTTAATATGGTTTTATATATTAATGAATAGTTTTGTATGTGAGTATAACTGGTTTTATTTACTCATAGCTCTATATATGAACATAAGACTATATGCTTTAACTTTATGATTAAACGTTTTGTTATGAGAAAATGTACTAAAGTATTTTTTATAAGACACATTCACTGTTCATTGATGTTTTAATGTTATGATCTATTAAAAAAGACGTAGACAATTTTTCCATTATCATCATTATTTGGTTTATTACATTCTTAAAACTATATAAAAAAGATATATCTTAAAAGACACAAGTAATGTACATGGGTATTTATGTTGTTAGCTTCTTAACTTAACTTTTCAATATGATGGGAAATGGTTCAATACTCACTTACGGTTATATATTTGATAACTATAAGTGGATTATAACGTGCGCTTAAATATATTATATTTATATATTATGACTGTTTTAATGTCATTCTCTTTTTACATTTGCATTGGCTGTGCTATCATCTAAAATCTACACTAAATGTACAAGTATTTCTGCTTCCTTTAATGTCTTCAATATTCTATAGAGCAAGGAGAGAAATAAATCCATTTCTTATAGATTTGTGTGTGTGTGTGACTGTGTGTGTTGTGTGTGGTGTGTGTGTGTGTGTGCTGTGCTGTGTGTGTGTGTGTGTGTGTGTTGTGTGTGTTGTGTGTTGTGTGTGTGTGTGTGTGTGCTGTGTTGTGTGTGTGTGTGTGTGTCTGTGTGTTTGTGTGTGTGTGTGTGTTGTGTGGTGTTTTGTGTGTGTGTGTGTGTGTGTTGTGTGTGTTTGTGTGGTTTGTGTGTGTGTTGTGTGTGTGTGTGTGCTGTGTGTTTTGTGTGGTGTGTGTGTGGTGTGGTCTTGTGTGTGTGTGTGTTCTTGTGTGTGTGTTTTGTGTGTCTGTGTGTGTGTGTCTTTGTGTTGTGTGTGTTCTTTGTGTGTGTGTGTGTGTGTGTGTGTGTGTGTGTGTGGTGTGTGTGTGTGCGTTTGTGTGCGTTATGTGTGTGTGTGTGTATTTTTGTGTTTTATTTTTTTATTTTTTTTAATTTTTTTTGTGTGTGTTGTGTGTGTGTTGATGTGTGTGTGTGTGTGTGGGTGTGTGTGTGTGTGTGTGTGTGTGTGTGTATGTGTGTGCGTTTGTGTGTGTGTGTGTGTGGTGTGTATTTTGTGTTTTATTTTTTTATTTTTTTTTAACTTTTTTTTTTGTGTGTGTATGTGTGTGTGTGTGTGTGTGTTGTGTGTGTGTGTGTGTGTGTGTGTGTGTTTGTGGTGTTGTGTGTGTGTGTGTGTGTGTTGTCTGTGTGTGTGTGTGTGTGTGTGTGTGTGTGTGTGTGTTGTGCTGTGTGTGTGTTTTGTGTGTGTGTGTGTTTTGTGTGTTGGTGTGTTTTGTTGTGTGTGTTGTTGTGGTGTGTGTGGTGTGTGTGTGTTTGTGTGTTGTGTGTTGTGTGTTGTGTGTGTGTGTGGTGTGTGTGTGTGTGGTTTTTGTGTGTGTGGTGTGTGTTGTGTGTGTGTGTGTTGTGTGGTTTTTGTGTGTGTGTGTGTGTGTGTGTGTGTTTTGTGTGGTGTGTGTGTTGGTTTTGTGTGTGTGTTGTTTGTGTGTGTGTGGTCGCTTGTGTTTTGTGTGGTGTGTGTGTGTGTTTGTGTGTGTTGTGTGTGCTGTGTGTGTGTGTGTTGTGTGTGTGTGTGTGTGTTTTGTGTGTGTGGTGTTGTGTGTGTGTGTGTGTGTGTGTGTGTGTGTGGGTGCGTGCGTCGTGCGTGCGTGCGTTGCGTGCGTGCGTTCGTGCGCTGCTGCGTGCGTTGTGCGTGGGTGTTCCTGTGTGTGGTGAATTGTGCGTGTGCGTGTCCCAATACATGTTATACATACGTATTTAAATGCAGGCGTATGTTGTGCGCAGGTCATATAATACTTACATAGAACTTGTGTGTGCGCACTGAATAGATACTGCGCCTGAAGTTCATATCTACCTTACAGACATTCCGTACCTCCACCGCCCCCCAAAAACAACCCATGGCCCCCCTTCAAAATTCCCCCCCAACACAACCCCATTCCCCAACCCCCCCCCAGGACTTACAGTGCACGAAGGCCCTCTTTGGCGTACATGAGTTCCCCCCCAAAAAAAACCCCCATTTACCCTCAAATCCCCCTCCCCCCCTCCACCGCCCCCCAAAACACCCCATTTCCCTCAAATCCCCCCCCCCCCCCGACGACCAGGCACGGAAGGCCCTTCTGGCGTACATGAGATTTTTCCCCAAAAACCCCATCCCCTCAAAATCCCCCTTAAATCCCCCCCCCCCCAGATCTTACAGTGCACGAAGGCCTCTTGGCGTACATGAGATGGAACTTGTGGTCGAAGTCGCGCCCAGCCTCGCAATGGCGGTGGTCGTTTCGAAAGCATGCACACGGCTCGGGTGACCTTGGCTAGGGTCTCCGCCGGCACGCGATGGTCGGCGGTGGTAGTTAATGCCCACCTGGGGAGGAGATGCTTCCATTTCATTTTTTCATTCCATTATTATGATTTTTATCTATTTTCATTGTCATTTCTATATACTATTTCAATACCAGACTGCAGTATTGATTATTTATCTATTCATATCATTTCTATACCACTTATTTCAATACCAGACTGCAGATGGTTAAAAAAATAACCAACGCTTACCAAGTACATACGCCTTTATTAAGATGAATTATAAGAAATAAATTTACAGAATAACAGAAAAGGGCAAAGAAATAAAGACCTAACCCAGTAAGCCACGAATCATATGCAAAAAAACAAACAACAACAACAACGACAACAACAAAAACAGGAGTAAATAAAATAAAATAAAATCAACAAATAAAACGAATTATATTATACATTCTTTTCAAAAAAATAAGTTAAATATGAACCCAGCTGGGGATACGAATACCATATGCAAGAAGAAGGAAACATGAGTAAATAAAATGAAATAAACTCAAATAAAGCGAGATACACGCATACAATCTTTTTTATTCATTTATTATCATTAAACGCAGGTTAAACCAAACCCCAAAAACCACAGCCTCACCTTAAACCCAGTAGGACACGAATACATACGCAAAAAACATAACAAATGAAAATAAAATAAAATTTAACGAAATACATATATACGTTTTTTTTTTTTTTTTGATAAGTAAAATGAACAGCACAACATAAAACGCAGGTGCCCTAAACCAAACCCAAAAACCCTAATCTTTTAAACCTAATGGGATTACGAATAACATTATGCCAAGGAATAAAAAAACATACAAATAATGAGTAAATAAAAATAAAAATGAAAATAAAACAAATAAAACGAAATTACAATGTATACTTTTTCCGTTTTTTTTCTTTCGTTTTTTGATAAGTAAAATTAACAGCTCAACATTAAAAAACTCCAATCCTCACGAATGTTATATGCAAGAAGAACATCGAGTAAATGAAATAAAATAAAATAAAGCGAAATACACGCATACAATCTTTTTTATATTCATTTACTTCATTAAACGTTAGGTTAAACCCAAACCCAAAAACCCAGGCCTCACCTTAAACCCACTGGGACCGAAACATTACGCAAGAAACACGAACAAATAAAAATAAAATTAAAATGAAACGAAAACATGCACACTTTTTTTTTTTTTTTTTTGATAAGTAGAATGAACAGCAGCGAACATTAAAACGCAGGTTAAACCAAACCCCCAAAACCCCAGCCTCACCTTAAACCCAGTGGGACACGAATACATACGCTAAAAACATGAACAAATGAAATAAAATAAAATGAACGAAATACATGTTTTTTTTTTTGTTTTTTTTTTTTTTTTTTTTTTTTTTTTTTTTTTTCTGCTAAGTACAATTTGAACAGACGGACATAAAACCGCACGTTAAACCAAACCCCCGCAAAAACCCAGGCCTCCACCTTAAACCCAGTAGGACACAATCCACAAATTGTGATCACGCTGTTTTCTTGATAGAAGCTATGGCACGTGACTCTTTGGGTTTACAACGTACACGAAACAGCAAGCAACAGGCCATGTACTTGCCGTGGCGGGGGTCACACTTTCACATCGTTGGAAGTGGAAAAAGGTTCATGTTGAATCGGGTAGGCGAGGGTCACACTTCACCATCTGGGAAGTGGAAAAGTCATCGTTGAACGGGTATGGCAGGGGTGTTCACACTTTATATATAGGAGTGGAAAAAAAGGTCATGTTAAATCAGATATGGCGAGGGTCACACTTCAACTTCTAAACGTGGAAAAGGTCCGCTGTTTAAATTCAGGGTATGGCGAGGGGTCACACTTTCAACTTTCTAAAAATGGAAAAAGGTCGTGTTAAATTCAGGGTATGGCCTGGGGTTAACTTTATTATCTGGAAGTGAAAAAGGTCATGTTGAATCGGGTATGGCGAGGGTCACACTTCACCATCTGGAAGTGGAAAAAAGGTCATGTTGAATCAGATGGCGAGGGTCACACTTCAATTCTAGATGGGAAAAGAAAACTTCTGAACTTAATTTCAACTTCAACTTGCTTAGACGGAAAGTGAAAAGGTCATGTTAAATCAGATTATGGCAGCGGTCCAACAACTTCAACTTCTAAAATGGAAAAGGTACGTGTCTAAATGGTGTATGTCGAGGGTCCACCACTTTATTATTTTTGGACGGGAAAAGGTCATGTTTAAATCGCGGTATGGCGGGGGTTCCGCACTTCACCATCTGGAAGTGGAAAAAGGTCATGTTGAATCAGATGGCTGAGCAGTGCACACCTCAATTCTAGACTGGAAAGAAACTTCTCTGAAACTAATTCACACTTCAAACTTCTATGACTGGAAGTGGAAAAGGTCATGTTAAATCGGGTATGGCGAGGGTCACACTTTTTATCTGAGTGGAAAAGGTTCATGTTTGAATCGGGTATGGCGGGGGGTCAGATTTCACCCATCTGGAAGTGAAAGAGATGTTAAAATGGGTATGGCGAGGGTGCCACACTTTTATTATCTGGAGTGGAAAAGGTCATTGTTTAAATTCAGATATAGCGAGGGTCACACTTCACCATCTGGAAGTGGAAAAGCTTTCATGTTGAATCGGTGCGCGAGGGTCACACTTTACTATCTGGAAGTGGAAAAAGGTATGCTTAAATCTAGATATAGCAGAGGAGTTCGCACTTCACCCATCTGGCACCGGAAAAAAACATAATTGGATTGTTACGTGGGAAAGTCATATTAATTCGGATTAGAACAAGTAGATATTGCATAGTTATATTACTGAACTTTTTCTGTCATACTTCACCAATAAGTATAAAAAAAAAAAAAAAAAAAAAAAAAAAAAAATAGACGGATTTAACCAACGTGATACTTACCATTAGCCATTTGCTTACTGTTTTGTCGTACTTTGCGATCTGGACATGAAAAAGTTATGTCAAATCAGTGTTAAGACGTTTAAATGGAACCCTTTTGTATTCATATTATTTGCATACACACACACAAAACATCCACAAAAACTCACTCTCTCTCTCTCTCTCTCTCTCTCTCACACACAGCACACACACACCACACACGAACGCAAACACCCCCCCCCCAACACCCCACCGCAACGCACACAAACTCCCACTCCAACACATCACCTCCCTCTCTCTTAACCCAAAAATCAAAATTATAATTCCCCTAAATCAAAACCCTCCTACCAAAAACCGACAATTGAACTACGCACAATCAAACTGATTAGGAAGGCTACACGCACCGAGCGAGCAACGGACACAAACGACACAGCACACACACAAAACCCACACCACAAACACACACAGCACCACACACACACACACAGCGAGCACACACACTATACTACACACACACACGGCTAAGCGCAGACGTCTACTGCCACCACACACAACAACATNCTCTCTCTCCTCTCTTCTCTCTCCTCTCTCTCCTCTCTCCTCTTCTCTCTCATCTTCCCTCCCTCTTTCTCCTCTTCTCCTCTCTCTCTCTCTCTCTCTCCTCTCTTCTCTCTCTCCTTCTCCTCTCCTCTCTCTCTCTCTCTTCTCTCTCTCTCTCTCTCTCTCTCTCTCTCTCTCCTCTCTCTCTCTCTCTTCTCTCTCTCTCCCTCTCTCTCCCCATCTCTCTCTCTCTCTCTCTCTCTCTTCTCTCCTCTCTCTCTCTTCTCTCTCTCTCTCTCTCTCATCTCTCTCTCTCTCTCTCTCTCTCTCCATCTCTCTCTCTTCTCTCTCCATCTCTCTCTCATCCTCCATCTCTCTCCTCTCTCTCTCTCTCTCCAGAAAATTCTCGAAATCACAAATGAGTGCTGTGTGTGATTTACACCCGCGAACTAAGTGTTTCAACCTGCACTTAACTTTTCTCAGCCAAACAAAACAATTACAACCCCGAGAGATAATTGGTTAGTGTGCCGCTTGGCCTTCAAATTAAAGAAGTTTTCAATCCTTCGGCAACATCGTGTTTTCTTTTCCTCGTTAGGACAACAGCTTACTTATAACAGTATAAGTAGACCAACAATTTACTTAAACAATAGTATAAGTACTTCGAAATGATTGGCCATTTCGGAGGTCATAACGGCCACTAAATCATCATAAATTCTAATTGAAAACTTTGTATTGCCGCGCCATTTTTCGCTCACTCACCCACTCCCTGTGTTTTATTTTAAACGACCGGGTCATAGCACAGAGAGAGAGAGACGAATGAGAGTGACGAAGATGAATGTGAGATGAGAGAGAGAGAGAGCCTGAGGGAATCAGAGAGAGATGACAGAGAGAAGAAGAGAGAAAGAAGGAACGAGGAAGGGGGGAGAAGTCTGCTCGGAGGATGGATAGAGACGAGAACTGGAGAGAGGAGGAGGAGAGAGAGAGAGAGAGAGGAGGGAGGTGAGGGAGGGAGGGGAGGGAGAGAGAAGAGAGGATGACGAAATGAGTAGAGAGAGAGGATGAGAGAGAGAAGGAGACGGAAGATGAGAAGAGAAGATGAGAGAGAGAGGGACGCGGTACGGGAGGAGGAAGAGACGAGAGAGAGAGACGTGAGCGAGAGAGAGAGAGACGCAACGGGAGGGACATGAGAAGACGAGAAGAGAGAGGAAGGAGAGAAAAGAGAGGAAAGAGGAGAAAGAATATATACGAAGCCATACGGACATGTCTGTCCTGTTTTTAACGAGGAATTTCGTTTCATTAGTTGGCCTCTTTTCAATTTGTCAATTTCATGAATTAATGCATTTTTCATTAACCTTTTTTTTCCTCGGATAACAGGGAGTAGATGCAACCCTATTCTTGTATTCAGGTTACTGGCCCAGATCACATGTTAGTCTAATTGAGGGGCGGGAAAGGGGGCTTGGGGGGATCGCAATTACTGTGTTGCCTTCAGCAGAGAAACTTGGGCACCGGTGCATGCTTCTCTCAGCGTCAATCTCTCTCTCTCCCTCACTCTTCTCTTTCTTTCTGAATGTCAATCTACCTATTCTCTCTCTCTATCCTGTCCTTATCTAGTCTACGTATCTATCTCCTCT